AAGGCAAGTAATGCATTTCCTGCTGTTGCTACCGATGGTGGGAACATAATTCATTGCAAACATCAACAGAACCCAGAAAACAATTCACCTGTAAAAAGCTGACTGCTGTGACCAAGAAAATATCTGAGGCACTGAAGAGAATCAAAAGTAGTTCATAAGACAAGGAACTCTCTCCCCTCCCCCGAGTTGCAGAATATTTGAAAAGCAACAATTTCAGTTCATTGTTTAATTCGAGGCCACCTAGAATAGAAGTTACATGGGTGAAACCTTGTCCCCTGTACTATTGAGGAGATTTATCTTGAATTTGAAAAAGAAGAGATTTCTCTCTCTAAAGGCAAGTGCAGAGACGTACTACAGCCCAGATTTAGGCTCTCAGGTAGCAAGTCAAGGATTTTACAGATCAAACATATACAATGGCTAAATCCTACTTTGGCATGACTGAAGCTACAACCCTTTGCCTTCTTAGCACCATAGAAGCATTGCATGATCTCCTGCAAAATAAGAGTTCACAAATGCAGAAAAGACAAACCCTTCTGATGGTTTTAAACCCATCTAATCTCTATTTTGTGTGAAGAGTTGTAACTGGAGCCTGCGTTCTTTGCTAGAGACATATGCTCACAGTATTCTCAGACTGTCTTTCCCAGATATTTTCCCATTTTCCTGTCTGACATCAATGGATACCCAGCCTCACATCTAGACAGAATACACTGTTATTTGTGAGAGGCTTCTGTATGAAAAATATTTTAAGGGTGGTCAGTCCTCAAGTCATGATTAACAACTTTTGCCCTCTTAATCCCAAAGAACTCTCCAGAGCGTACCCCACCACAGATTACTGAAACCCTAGATCAGACCCTACACCAACCATTCTTAAGGTACATAGAATTATAGAATATTTAAGGTTGGAAAATACCTTAAGATCATCTAGTTCCAACCCTCCTGCCATGGGCAGGAACACCTCACACTAAACCATGCCACCCAAGGCTCTGTCCAACCTGGCTTTGAACACTGCCAGGGACGGAGCATTCACAGCCTCCCTGGGCAACCCATTTCAGTGCCTCACCACCCTAACAAGAAAGAATTTCTTCCTTATATCCAATCTAAACTTCCCCTGTTTAAGTTTTAACCCATTACCCCTTGTCCTATCACTACAGTCCCTAATGAAGAGTCCCTCCCCAGCATCCCTATAGCCTCCCTTCAGATACTGGAAGGCTGCTATGAGGTCTCCACGCAGCCTTCTCTTCTCCAGGCTGAACAGTCCCAACTTTCTCAGCCTGTCCTCATATGGGAGGTGCTCCAGTCCCCTGATCATCCTCGTGGCCCTCCTCTGGACTTGTTCCAACAGTTCCACGTCCTTTTTATGTTGAGGACACCAGAACTGCACACAATACTCCAGGTGAGGTGTCACAAGAGCAGAGTAGAGGGGCAGGATCACCTCTTTTGACCTGTGTATGTCTCAGTACCCCAGGTCAGAGGGCTGGGATGCTGCTTATATAAACTGGGGATAACCCAGCTCTGAGCAACATTCCTGAAACCAATCAAACATTCATGAACCCAAATAATACAAACAAGCAGCAAGAAAATTCACAAACCTGAACTGTCTATGCATTGACTCCAATAGAGATAGCTCTAATTTTAAACTTGAAACTCTGGTGTTGTCTGTGCCGGCCCCTTAAAAGAAACCATGAAGAGAAACCATTTTCTTTCAGTACCACACCAATTTATTCACTATACCCTTGCAGCATTTTCAACTTCTGTAGGGCTACTTCCTAGCACACCTTGTTTCAGACAGTTTATGAAATGGAAAGACATTCAAAAACCACAAGATGTCTGGGCTGATTTCATTAGTTTTGAAGACAATAAAACAAAGTAAAAGAAAAAAAGAGGAAAAAAAAATTACATACACAAAGGAACATCCAAGCACTGCTACTGCCACTATTTCCTCTAATGCACACAAGAACTGATTCAATTTGGTTTTCATTCTATGTCTTGCAACACTTGGGCTATGCTTTTATTCACAAATAAAATTTACTGAGCATTGGAAGATTAGGGAGAAGCAAAATGTGCTTAATACTTGAACACTTGATGCACTTTATTGAAAATTTAGAGCAAGCAAGTCTTAACTCTAAAACTAATAAATACGTTAGTTGGTTTGTGTTATGGGTAGTGTTCAGAGGCTTCAAGAACTAATTATACAATCTTGAGTTTGCTTTGAAGGTTAAGCCGCCCTAAATGGTTTTAAATTACATTCTATCAAGCTAAGCTTAGAATTAAAACCCTCATTTGTAATAGGGAATTTTACTGGGTATAAATGCTAGTAGAGGGACTACGAAAGTTTAGTAATCAGGATGGCTTCTGTCCTTCACAGAACATGTACAGAAATCCTAGCTTTCTCACAGCTAAAGTCTCCATTAGCCTTAGGAGGTGAAACTCCTTGGGGAAGGCACAGGAAAAGTGCTTCTGAAAGAGTTTTGCATAGGATGGTGATCCAAGGAGGAAACAGGTGTAGGTCAGGTGGGGAAGCAAAGGCAGCTGGTCAGGGAGGATACTGGTGAGAACAGCTACACTCACCACAGAATGAGAGCTACTCCAATAATTTATCTGCTCCATGTGGCCCATAGCCAATACTGGGAAAGCTCTACTATAATCTACCACTGGCCAGCACTGCAAAAAGAAGAGCCCAGCAGATCCTACATCCACTTTGGTTTACAGAGTCATAAGCAAATTGTCTGAGATCACAGCTCTTCCTTGACATGCAGTACTCTGGGGTTAATTACTTCTAAACAAAGTGCACCAACAGCAGTATTTTTCCCATCTGAAAACACACCAGAGTTATCCCCAGGCACTCAGGGAGCCACTACCCACCCTGCAGAGTCACTTGGAGAAAAGGTGGCATTTTGCCACGAAGGCTTTATACTGCTATCACTGACTATGCCTGCAACCCCTCTTTGTGGGAAAAGGAGAAATACCTGTGTGCAGTAAAAACACATCCCACAGTGCTCACTCTAATCAGTGGCAGGAGCAGACATCAGCCCTTCATGTCAGGCTTCCTCCTATGCCACTTCTCCAAGATGAGACCGGTCACCCACACCTGCTGTCACTAGCATGCTAAAGACTTTTTCTGAGAACAACAGTTTTGATCCCCAAACCATCTAAAGTCAGCAGAGACATTCCAAAAATACACTTTCAGAGCAGGATGGGTTTTTCTCCCCCCCCACCCCCCCCAAATAATTAACTTATCCCTTTCACTCATCTGGCAGGCCTGGAGTCAAGCCTGCCACAAAAGAGGTGCGACAGACCACTCGTCCTTTTGGGTGTGCTTAGACAGCTTGATTATCTGCCCATTAAATGGTAGTTCCTCCTTCTCTTTCATTAAGCCCATCCCCAAAATCCCGCCCCCTGTAGTTAAGTGAATTTTTCTGTGCCTCTGCGCATGGAGGGGAGAAGATGAATCTTTCTTTTTTATCTCATTATTACCTTCCTCACTGACCTAGTGGTTGAGAAATACCGTATGTTTTCATTGTTTGCCTTCACTTTCAGCTCTTCCACAAGCTAAAATGTGAAGTGATCCGTGCTTTCACTGGCACGGCTCTGCCTTGTTTTCTTTCCCTCTTAACGGACTCATTCATGTGTAGGAGGCTTTTGATCCCGGGGTTTAGATATTCATCCCTACTTTACATAACCATAAGCAATGGCAGGTACTTATGTAAACTACAATTGGCTCCTTGTGTCCTGTGCCCAACAAACAGAAGTCTCAAGCCATCAGCAACTGCTTTTTGCTTCGAACTGCTCTTTGCAAAATAAGCCACTGGCAGAGGAAAAGACTGAAGCAAGATGTGTCAGTGTACAGTGAGCAAAAGCTAGAAACTTTGCCTGGGATATCCTGCCCGCCCCCCCCCAGCTTGCTCCTTGTTCCGATGGGCAGCCTGCTGACCAGGGACTGAAGTCGCTGGTTACCTCCAGCACACGTACCAATCACCCCTGCTCCAATCCACCCCCCTGCTGCTCCAAGCTGCTTGTCACTCTATTGGCAAGAGGGGGCATTGGGGGTCGGTTGTTTTAAAATTGCTATTGGGCCACAAAAACACCTTTACAAGCAGTTTCAGAGTTCTCCACTTCACAATATAAAATTCAGTTTAGGGGGAATGGAGATTACCAGAAACAAGAACACTTGACAACGAACATGTTAAGCAGATGACTTTGGTTAATGCAACCATTAAATGTGTTTGTAGTTCTCAAATAAATTCATATTTTGCACATCTCCACTTCAGGAAAAGCAGGAGTTTCTCTGCACACACATTTTATATTTCCCCTGTTCCTCCCTACAGGAGAAAACACACAGTTCTCAGAGGCTACCTATGCAGAAACACCAATGCAAGAAATTACTCACCACATGGCCTTGAAGCTCCAGCAAGCCCACCTCTGAAGAACATCTCTGTGATCCACCACAGCATCTTTTAATGCACAGCTGTGGGAGAGAGCTGAGACTTTTGAGGGCTCTGAACTCTTTATGGACTCCTATGCTCTCCAGTAATTGCAAGAGTCTCTCCAGACAGACAATAACACAAATGATACTTGCTTCCAGGAGTTATTCATTCAGGGTACAAGTGCACCCTAAAGCCACACAGAGCTCTGTTGAAGAGTTTAGCTTGGTTCTGCTGGAAACCACCAAAGCAAAAGCAACCAAGGCAAGCAGGGACACTACAGAAAAGAAGGAAGCAGCAGTCCTACATCAAGGCACAAACCAACCAGCAAGCAGACCTGAATCAAGAGAAAGGGAGTTAAAAGGAAAAGAGGGGTTTTGGTGGGAATGGGGTGCATAGGCACTAACTAGGCTTTCTGGCTGGTTTGGTTTTTTTGTTGGTTTCTTTGGTTGTTGTTTGTTTGGGGGGGTTTTTTTCTGTCTGGAAAGGTTTTGCCTTTCTGCCTTAACTACAGCATCTGATTGCACTAGATGGGAGGCAGCTGTGCCTGTCACTGGGAAGCCTCCCCACACTCAGCTGGGGAGGATTTTGGCTCAAAGCCACTGACTCCCCATCCATTCTTTACTTTGAAATTCACATTTAATCCTCTTGACACCAGGGCATAGAGCTAAAGCTTTTGTAGCCCCTGAAGAGCACTGCACCTTGGCCTATTTTCTGATGTATCTTCTTTAATATCTGTTGATGACATCTTTGAGCACCTGTAAAACCAAAGTGAGGTCTAAGAGAAATCTGTGTGCTACCTTCCACTACACAGCAAGAAAAAGAAAGAGAAAATAAATGCAGTTATTAGATATGGATTTACTTAAGGAAAATGTTGTTAGAAACTGAACAAAATAGTACAGTTCTGTGCTGTGGATGGTGCAATAATGAAAAATATTATTGAATATAAAGGAAAGTTATGACACTATAATGTAACACCTGTGGTTTCATTTTTCATTACTAATTTAATGTACTTACAATGCTATATGATAAAAAAGTGAAAAGAATGATAAGAATTGAGCATCATGAGAACAAAACAAGATCTGCAGAATTCAGAGATTTTTATAAGTTACTTGAGAAAACGTCCAAGATCCCTTGAGAGCTGCAGAACATCCGTTAATATCCAATAAAAGATCTAATAACAGAAACATAAAGGAAATGTGGAAAGAAGATTTTAATAAACACAAATTATGAAATACATTTCTTTACATATCACAGTTCTGCTGCATGAAATTATTTCATAGAGAGAAAAATATCAGTTTTGCTAGGAAAGGATGCTTTGCAAAGGTTAGCTCAGCAATCACACTGCTGTGATTCAGGAGTATGTAAGCAGTTTATTCCACCTTTTCTCAAGAACCTTTAACCCTTAGGGTCTTGCAGTATACTTTCTTTTAGCCACGTAAAAGACAACTAATCCTATGCATATAAACAGATGTACTCTACAGAAAAGCTAATGTGAGAGGATAATCACACCTTGCACTGTTTGATGGGAAAATGCTTACAAACGTACCTTGCATGTCTTCTGAGGCAGCAAATACAAGCCAGTACTACCTAATCAGGGATAGATTGGGGAACCCTGACCAAAACCGTGGGGAAATACAGCCATAGGTGGCCTTGCAAATGTCTAAGACTCTTGGTATTTTCTTTGCCCCGAGTGAGAGTCACTGGGTGTCTGTCATAAGTTATTGAAAAGTCTAAATTAAGATTTGTGAACTTCCGTTTTTGTGACTGTTTACCCCTGTATGCCACAGGCTAATATATATACTAGGAAATTACTTCATAAAAACCTTTCAGTGATATTTGGGTACCAAACATCCTGCTACGATCTTCAAGATCATGGCAATAAACATGCGTGTTTGAACGTTGGCTCACAAAATTGAAAATGTAGAAAGCCACTGTAGAAAACAACTATGTGACTAGGAAGAAATGTTACCTGCTTGTGCATATGGAAACTGGCTGGGAGGAGACAGAAGGTAATTTGTTAATACAAATGAAGGAAAAGATGCAAAATTATCCTTACCGGTAATATTTCCTTCAAAGCAGAAACTTCCCCACAGCTGTTTTGACCAGCTTGTGCTGAATTTCTGCGTCTGTAAAATGTAATTAAGGACTACCTGCTTCAGGGAAATAAAGGATATGATTAAAAGTTATAGAAAGGAATGGAGGGGGATCAGGTTTGAGGGTGTGTTAAGGGGGGAATGATCCAGCAATATTGAAAAGAAAAAGTAAAAATACTTTCAGGCATGTAACATTGTATAATAGAACCAGCTTCTCATCATGCTCCTCATCCTCGGCAAAGAGGTTTTCCTTAAAAGGGACATCTGGGAAGGTTTCAACAAATTACCTGTAGCAGAGGCAAAAGACGTTGTTTTCCTGGATACCTTTGGACATATTATTTGTGACCAATTTCTAATGTTGCTTTTTACAGCATCTGGGGACACCTGAAGCTTGTAATATTCATGCCGGTAAATTCAAACCATCTGTCTCCTTTTCAAAGAGTCAAGCTCTCATTCCCAAACTCCCCCCCTCCTCTCTTTCTCACACACTGAGGTGAATTTTCAACACCTGAGTTTTGCTCCTTTTTCGGCTTTATGAGCTGTGTCATCTGTGACTGAATGCCATCAAGTATCACTTAAGCCTATTTCCACAGTAAGGAAATATTGGAAGTAAAAACTGTTCAAGAAGCTGCCTCGGGTCCCCTTAGCAATGCAGAGTTTGATTTGCAGCAGTGGTGAACAGGAAAAAATCTGGCTGGAGTCTGTAGGAGTTATGTTTGCTCAGCATCCCTGAAAAATCAAACTTTGGGTGTCTTGGGTTGAAATCCACAAATGCAGCATATGCTTTTGAAAATCTAGTCTTGTGTGCATTTCAGAGTGAAAATTTTCTTACTGATCTCTCCATAAAAGAAAAGTTTCTCCAGAGGGTTTTGCAGTATCCTGTCAGATGTTTGGTACTTAGGGAAGTTAAAAAAACAAATCCACTGATTATAATAGAATATTGGGTTATTTTTTTCTCTTGGAAAAACATGTTGAAAAGATAACATTAAGTGAATCTCAGTGGGCAGTACACATGTTTGGTAAAATCTATTTTAAAGGTGGATTTAACTGACAAACCTATCGCTATTTAAAAAAGAATGAAAAGCATATGAAACCAGACACCTTTGTTAAACTATTAAGTGAGAATTCATAGCTGGACGTAGTGCCTGTGTATGCGCAGTTCATTAACTGCATAGCTATTTGGTTCAAGACATTTACAAGGTGTCCTGTGGAAACTCGAAGAGAAGGAACCTATGAAATCTTCTGGGTTTACAAAGCAGTGAGCAGAGCTTTTAAATACACCCAACTGCTCAGCCTCAGACTAAGCTCCTTAAAGCGTGCTTGTAAACCCACATCCCCAATAGGTCCGGAGCGAGAAGCTGCTGAGGTTTGTCTGCACAGCATCAGTGGGACTTCCTAAGTCACACTAGCCTTTCAGTTGTGTGTTAAGGACTAAACAGCTAATTGGCAGCAGACAGTAAGCTGAGGTTCTTCTTTGTTAACAAAAAAAAAGGGACTAAAAAGTGCAAAACTAACACGGGTGAAAAGTGAAGGCTACAAAAAAAATCACACGCTTGTAAGTCAGGAATGTGTAAGTAATTAGCAAGTCCTGCAACATTAATGCTACCATAGTGCATGTTTGTGGGATCTTTTTCTTTGTTTTAAAAGTAAAATGCTGTGCTTTGCTTGCTGTGCCAACTTCACCTCCCATGCAGCTCTGCCAAAGACACTAGAGGTTAGTTGGGATTTCCTGGTGCAGGCAGTGCATTCAGTGGGGTAGGGGGATGCCCTGGCTCCTCCAGCAGGACACAGAGGGTTGGTGAACAGTGGTTATGCCTGGACTGCCTTCCTCATTCTGGGAGCAACCTTTGACACAAATACCAAGCTCCACATGAAAATGGTGCAGGAGTGGGTTGGACAAGGGGTTTTCCCACTCTTCCGCCCTCTCCTTCCTCACATCGTGGTGCACTGGAGAGTTCAAACTCAAGCTCAGCTGGGAAAAGTAGCTTAAACTTTGCCACAAATGCAGGCTTCAGCCCATGCTCAAGGGAGCTGGCAGCAGAGGAACTGGCACAAAACTCAGGTACCACCAATGCTAGCACTGGGTTCAGCTAGACCCATGCGAGGGCAAGTTTCCTTCCCACGGTGTGCCATCTGTACTCCCTGCGCATGTGAAACCTGAAAGAGGATAGCCACGGCAGGAGAACCAGGCCACCCTTCCAAGCTCTTGTGTAATGCAGATTGTCCTTTTGAGGCAGGGTGTCATAAGGAAAAGGGCTAGGTGCTAAAAATGTGAAACCACATCTGAACCACATTGAACGCACAGGCTTTTGATTTTTAAGGCATGCAGCTGATCCCTACTTCTGAACATTTTCCCACTGGTATGGCTGGAAATTGCTAAAAGCAGGCATTCTTCCCCTGACTTTGGGGAGTGCAGGGCTGACATGCTCTCCACAAACTGCAAACCTGTCCCTGTACCCACCAAATACAAGCATTGGACAGTTGTAACTGCAGAAATCCCACATTAGTCCTCCTCTGATGAAATTCAGTATCCTTCCCACTCAGCTATTGACAGCATGTTTGCTTGTTTACTACATCCATTGTTTCCTTTCAGAGACAGATCACATTCATTTAAACTATTTTAGAAATACTACATTCATTTGAAGCTGAAATAGCTTCCATAAAGATTGCAGCTAGACCACACATCTACACACAGAAACCAGATTTGTACTTGGTGTGGATTGTCTGCATATTTACCACAATACTCATTTTCTTCTTTGAATAAAAGTGCAGATTTTTTCCCTCCATTATTTGCCAGTGCTATTAACTAGCCACATTTTTCCTTTTGGTTGTATAATCTGTGTCCCTCTCTGATCCTCTCCAAAGTAAACAAGTCGATATTGACTCCAGGACGTCATGCCATCACCACCACTACCACCCATTTGCAAGATTTGTGCCACAAACTGGGTCTTCTTTTCAGACAGGGTAGGTCAGTGTTGCTTTTGGGGAGTCAAAGCACTGCTGTTTACGTTGGCTAATCTCCTACCCTGGCTCCATGAGCACATTGTGGACGCCTTCAGTGCCCAGGATGACTATGCCCACATTGGAGGATGGACTTGCACTCCCCACCAAGGACACATGGGTTGGGAGCTGGGGCCTGCAGGTTCATGCCTAAAGAGTACTGATGCCCGGGGAGGTGTGGAGTGTGCAATTGGCACGGCAAGTGAGCTAGGAGGCTTTTCAGGTGGATGCACAAGCTGGTTTTAAAGGACTTTGTAGAGTCTGAGAGCTGGCTCAGCTGCCTGTGGAAACACAGCCAGTAATATCACTGACAAAAAACTCATGTTGTGAGACAAGAATCAAACTCTTTTTGTTCCCTCCATCCCTTGTTCAAAGCTTTATCAGGCAGATGAATCAGATACCACTCTCCTAATGTCACAAGCATGAGGTTTCCCCAAATCTCCCACTGTTTCCCAGCAAGGACAAAGCAAGAATCAGTGTATCAGCTCCTGGCCACTCTTCCTTATACTTTTGTTGGAGTTGGAGGAGCTCCCTGAATGCCATTTATTCCCATTGCAGCCACGGCATGCTATGAATAGGCTTATAGTTGGAATAAGAGACCTACCTAGGGGAAGAGTATACAGCTTCTTGGGGCTGATTTGTGAAGTGCTGACGGTTTTCAATCTGCACCTGCATCTCTGACCGGATATTGGAGTCACATTGATCAGGTGCCGAGTGACCCCTTCATGCTGCTGATAGTCCTCAGACGCCTGAAATCTGAGGAATTTGGGAACTCTGGAGATATTTTGGTGGAGCGATTTTGGTGGAGCATGCTTCTGGATCCAAGAGGGAGCACTGCCATGATGTGTGAGAGCAGATGAAATAAAGAGAAATGTTTTTTTCTGAATGAACACATTTAAGGACATCTTTTGAGAAACTTCTGCTTTGGGCTGTGCCATATTGCCTGCTCTTGTAGGCTTCCAGGTGGTCTGTTCATTGGTGTTTTTCTTCAGGAGCGGGGTAATTTCCTTAACTCAGAGAGGCTGAGCACCTTGCCTCCCATGGCCTCCTGCTAGGCAAAAGTCCCTACTGAAGCTACATCCCAGGAGAGTTTGAACATCTACACAAGGCCTATTAGGGCATATTTTTGAGGAACAATTTAGTTGTTGTTTCTGAGGCACCAAAAGCAGTAGCAAAACTGTTCTCCTTTGACACCACTTTTGTGAAGGCTTACTGATATGCTTGGTAACGCTACTTGAGGTGAAGAAACCTAGTCTTAAGCATTGTGGCCATGCTGTGGTGGTCTCAGTTTATGGCTTACAGCTTAACGCATTGCAACTACAATTGTGGATGTTAAAACGGGAAACCATGGGAGCACTATTGATAAGGATCTTTTTTCAAGGACAGGAATAAAAAGAAAAAATTTGAACAGTGTCACACAGGTGGATCTTAAAACAAAAGATGTAATTTCCATTAGTAAAATACTGCATTTCCACTAATATCCCATTTCCACTCTGAAGATTGATACTACAATTTGTGTAGCTCAAAGCCACTTGTTCCTTTATCACTCTTTAGATAGATAGATAAAATTCCAATTCATTTCAATTGAAGGGTTTCTATTTAAGTGCTGTTGGTATAATCGGTCTATTAAAATGAAAGGTGTTAATTTTCCAGTAATCACTACACTTTTTTTCTCTTCCTGTCTTCCAATTGAAAGGATAGCCTCATCCTACATGGTTAAAATGTAGTAATGCATTTAATGCCAGGCCATGATTTTAGACTTCCAGCTGTTTTACTGGTTGTGTAAGTAAAAATAAGATAATGTTATGCTTGGTAACCATGGTTTTTGTAGGCATTCACATTTTACAAATCACTGCACGGTATGCAAACCATTATATATATTTAAAATGTTTAAAATCAAGCCTACCAGAAGTCTACCATTTCCATTATTTAAGGAGGGGGACTGCTAGACTGTGAAGAGTGATATATTCTATCAAGCTACTCACTGAAGTTATATTATCAGTGCAAATCATGTGAAAATATGTGCCTCAGCAAGACAAGAAAGGAGTATTTTATGCTAGATGGAGTCATTGGTTTGGTGTAATATATGAGTAAAATCTTATTTGTTCAAATAATAAAATGGGGGGAAACAGCACAGAGAGAAGGCAACCATGAACTACTTGTTTATTCTCTCTCTGTACAAAAACCTGCTTCTACTTCAAAGGAAATTGAGTCTCATCTCCCACAATTTTAGCCAGGGATAACTACTCACCTGAGAGGAGATTTTCCTGATCTATACAGGCAGCAACAAAAGCAAAACCAGGGACATGGAGAAGAAGCTTATTGATTTGTTCCATACATGCAGGGAAAAGTATAATATCTTGCCAGCACCATCATAAGTATGTATTTAAATCCAAGTAAACCTTAACTGGAATATTTCTGTGTAAGGAAACACTGGTAAGTGGAGCTATCAACAG